GTTGTACTGTCCTCATCATAATTTCTGGTCCTGGGTCCCTGTAGCTGCTCACAATTGTAAAGCTGATATTCTGAATGTCGATATTTGCTGAACTGCTGCACAAAGCTATTTATAATGATCTCTAAGCTTTCATTTAAGGTTTATCTTGAACAGTTTTCCAGATATACGCAACATTAAACTTTACATATCTTTGTCACAAGAATATTGAAAATAATGCATTTCCTGCATGGTTGGCCATCCCTTTCTATGTGCTTTCTCTGGTAATGACCAATAAGATACAATGGCAGACAAAAAGGTTAAAGCAATGTCTGATTGCAACTCTGCTCAAAGGGCATAAAATCTATGGTGGCTTTGTAATAAAATACCTTAATGTTATAGGGTAACGTGTTCCTATAAATTCTTTCATTATAGGCAAAAAAGAACATAATCCCTAAAATAATGGAATAGTAAATAATTCATATAAGACTCTCTGAATTACCTTATGTTATAAACAAACAGTAAATGTGTAACATTGCTAACTATTCTGTGTTTACATTTTCTAAGTGCTTATTTTAATTGAACTGCAGCACCAATACATGTAAGCATTACTCTGTTTCCCAGGTTACACTCTCACCAGGAACCTGAAGACCAGGTTGTTTAACTCAGGATCTGTAAAGGTAGATGAAATTCTCACCCAGACCTATCACAATTCCCAAATTAATTTTAAATTAGCTAAGAAATTGTAAACAAATGCAGCATCAGCCTTGCTTCCCTTATCATGCTCCACTCAAACTGGTTAGGTTTGGATTACTCACAACTTTCCCCCTCTGTCTCTATAAGGATGGTACGTGTACTTTATATTCCCAACAAAAACATGCCCAGCATCTCTCCTCAGTCTATTTCTCAGCTGCAGCCCCGTGTTTCAAGGCTCTGTTCTAGCATTCCCTTCTGTAATTCTGATGTGGCTGCCACACAGAAGGTCCTAACTTATTTGCCACTCCTCCTCTTAGTTTTCAAACAGCCAGGCACTCACTGGTGAACAGAACCTTAGAAACCAGCTGCCCAACCGGTTCAACCTGCTCCTCTGTCCAGATTCCCAGAGTAAAGTTTTCACTACTTAGGACTCTATCAGGGCCTCTCTGAAACCGAGGCTTCAGCACTACCCTTGATGTGACTGATCACTGCGGGCTGCAAGCCGGCCCCACCCCCAATCCCTCCTAGATGGTGGTTCCAGTATCAGGTCGTGATCCTTCCTTTTTGTCATGAATTCAGGAATAAAGAAATGACCTTCTCTGGCCCTATACATTTGAATTAGCTTCCTTAGGATGATTCCTTGGAGTTTTGATGCCTTCGGTTTGGTAGGTGAGTGCATCTCTCCCTCTGCTTCCTGTGCCTCTCCCACCCCTAGCAATGCAGTTACCACGGAAACCATTTGTAAGGCTTCTGCACACAGGCACTTTCTCATGGAGTCTGAGAGAAATAAAACTGTTTTTAAAAAATGGTCACATTTAATGTTTTTCATTTCTCTTTTCATATGCCTTGAAACATAGTTAAACTATTCCTCCTTAGCTTGTGAAAATACCCTTAAAGCTTCTCTATACCTCTGCTCTCAGGGGCTGCAGGGTGAAAGCCACCCTCCAACATAGCAAGGTCTCTAAACTAAAAAATCTGGCAAGAAGCAAGGCAACTAATCCTCGCTATTTCTATCTTTTCCTCCAACAGAACACAGGGTAAATATTCAAAATGAATTCCACAAATAGCCCTAAATATCCCCTAGTTTTATAATGATAGCTACAATGAAGAATTATGAATTCTATCATTTCTCTTTAATTTGATTTAAATTAATAACACTCGATTCTCCTACCCTTGGAAGGTAGAGGTGGGCATATATCAGCAAGAAAGAAAGACAGGGAAAGGAATGAAGGAAGGAAGGAAGGAAGAAAGGAAGGAAGGAAGGAAGGAAGGAAGGAAGGAAGGAAGGAAGGAAGGAAGGAAGGAAAACATTCTAAAATCTTTAGGAACTACGTCATTTTCAGTGATTATTTTTAATGTTGTGGAATATTTCTGTAGTTTCTTGTCCAGCTGTTTTTTTTCACTGCATACATATCTGTTTTTACTAATATCAAAAGCTGGTAAAGCTTTGTATGTCAAAGTCATTCTAGTGATAGTAATAAAAGTAATAATAATAATAATTTATAGGCTACTTATTGCCTGCCAAGTATTGTACTAAGCACTTTATGAACATTAGCTCTTTAAATTCTCAGAATAACACTATGCAGTAAGTAGGATTGTTTCCTATTCTTGGTTTAAAAAAGAAACTGAGTGGCAGCAAAGTTAAAAAACTTGACAATATAGTAAGTGGCAAAAGAGGAATTTAAACCTAACCCATCCTTTATACCTGTGAAGATGCATACAACTCAATACATTGCATGTGTGTAGGATACCATTGCCCTCTTGATGAATACAGAGACCTAGAATGCCTTGAAACAGCACTGACGTTACATGTGGCCTTTGTGCTCTATGTGGGGCACATGATTTTATTATTCTAAACGTTACTTAAATAAAAACTTGCTAAAATTTGGGCAGTTATGACTTCAAAATCTTTATGTACTATTATACAAATAGGTCACTATTAACCTTATCATTTGATTTTCAAAATTTTCAACTTCATGATTACATGAATAATTTTCTCTCAGAGTTAGGACAGCTTTCATATGCTCTTCTGTTTTCCTTCTGTACTTTGGCTCTTTTGGAAATGTGATAAGGTAGCTTGTGGCATAACAATCTTTTCTACTTTCTCCTCTATCCCTAACTCCACTTGCCTTTATTTTCTTCCAATGAAACTTATTTTTCTTTCCTTTCATCTTTGAATTTACCCCTCTCTAACATGAGTTACTTAAAAGCTGTTTAAACTTGGATATTCTGATGACTCCAAATTATGGAAAATTTGGTTATTTCATACTTCCATTTATTTGGATTATAGAACATATGATTCCATTATAGCTTTACCATATGTCTATAAAAAAAGGTCATCTTACATTAAAATACATTCACAAACAATAACAAAGACACTAATTCTAGGAATATTTCAGAAAACATAGTGACCAATGCTTCTAACATCCTTAGTTATGACCTCTGTGATACATTTCATGGAGTAATAAACTAATCTTTCTCTAGCATCAGGATTCCACCATATTCACTGCAACATTCCCAGCTGTAAAATGTTTACCCTTGTATAACTGATGATCCTAGTCAAGTTGCTAAATACTTGCTTGTTCTGTGTGTTAACCAATCCATTTTCCTTGACCTTTAGGCTCAATAATATCTTTCTCCTACAATTCCTAAGTCTTGTGTTATTGCTATCCATGCCCCAACATTATAATATTGAAATGGTTAAAAAAATGGTTCTAGCTACTTTAGTACCCTAAATTTGAAAATGAAAATGAAAAATTGGAAAAGATCTATTTTTTGTTGTAACAATTTATTTAGTTTTAAAATCATTATAATTATACTTGAAATTTTTTTGATGTTAATCAGTGTTTATTTTATAATTTTTATTCACTGAATGAAACTATAGATATTTTGGGCAAGTGACTTATAATGAATATTGCACTTTATAGAAAGACTTGAGTATATTTAATATATTTTGAAAGCAACATAGGTCTTTAATCTGTTTAATTTTAGAACTTTTATTTTGTAAAAAGCAAATCAAGTGAATAAAAATTAATTTGAAGCAAAATGAAATTTCATCATTGTGAAACTGCTCAAGTGAGCAAATCTTAAGGGAATGTTATTGAGGACTATACTCCTGTTTCCGCAATTGGGAGACTCCTTTATCAGAGAAGTGTTGTCTCTGAAATTTTTGAATGCTTAAAGATTGGGTTGCTATGAAAAGTAGCTTTTCTAATATCATGCCTATAAAATGTGATCCCACCCTATCCTCACTGCCACCTATCAGATCTCACTTCTCCATGAAGAATGAAAGGATAAGAATTAACTCAGTTTGAATCTGGCATCTCTGACATGGGCAAGCATGCAATGAAGCAGAGGAAGTGGAGCTGAAACAAAGCAAATTGTGTTCGAGGAAGAGTAGTCAGGGTGCAGAGGACACAAGAAAACAGGCAAAGAGAGTATTTCAAATAGAAGATTAAGAACCAATTCAAATAAAGTAATTTGAAGGTATTGTGTAAACGAAAATCAGATCATTGAGCACATGCATTCTAAAGATTTTGATGTTTTTGATGTTTTGGGAAAAGGCAACATTGCCGATAATAACATTTAGAAAAGTGACAGAAGGATGTTTCCTTCAGGAGGCCTATCACAGCGGGCATCAACACCCCGTCTGTGTTGTGCAGCACAGACTCCACACAGAGAAAAAAAAGAAAGAAGATATTAAGTAGCTGAAAAATAGTTTTAAAGAAAGGAAAGAAAAGAGAGTCATGCTTCTGAGGAGATTCTTAAACTGTGTCTAGATTTAAAATATGGACCTACCCTTACTGTGGTAATCCTTTAGAATCAACCTGAAATAGTGTCCTTATTGGAATACCCAGCTTTTCTCATCTAATGTATGCAAGGTTTCACAAAGTCACCAATGGCCTGTCATAAACTTTGTAACCAAAATATTTCTGGTACTACATTTTACTAATGGCAAGCATCTTATGAAGGAAATAGAGGGAAGGTAACTTATTCTCTATTACAGTGTCTGCTACTTAGTTGGCATCGGGAGAGGCTGATAAACACAAAGAAGGAGTTGACAATTTAACAAAAACAAATGCAAGAGTTTCATGGACAATTAAACTTTGTTGGATTAAATCACCATCACTCATAGAAAATCCTGAAAAAGAAATGTATTTAAAATGGAAGTAGAAGAAAATAACTTGTAGAAGGGGAGTAATAACTCTGTGACTTAGGAATTTCACAAAGGTCCATTTGAGTGCTCTCATTATCTTGGTTTTCACCACTGAGCACCCTTTTACTATGATTTGTTTGTGGGAGGAAAGTAAAAGAAGCCTAGGCCTTACCGCCTCCACTTCAGCAGGGTCGTACCAAACATTGATGTATGGATGCTGTAAGGCATCATCCACTGATATCCTCTTGGCAGGGTCAATCACTAGCATCTTTGACAACAAGTCCCTGGCTTGGCTGGCTGGAATGACAAAAGAAGTAAAGAATTAGTAAAAGTTTTATTTTGGCAAGGAAATTTGTTGGAAGGAGAAGAAATTAAGAAAATAAAGATCAACTAGTACTTTCCTCCTGAACATCATGTAACTTCACCAAATGATTAGGGAAATGCAAAATGAAACAATGAAGTATTTTTTATCTACCAGATTTGCAATAATAAAAGATGGTACAATATCCACAAACACTAGGTAATTTCTTTCATGTTGGTGGGAACATGAAATGATGCAGGATTTTTAGAAGGCAAACTTGGCAGTATCTATCAAAGTTTAAAATGTGAATACTTTATGACTCAGCAGTTCCACTTCTAAATATACAGCCTAGAGAGACAAGTGCACATGTTCATGTAATGTATACAGAAGGAGAGTTTACTGCAGCATTGGTTATAGAATAAAAAAGTTTTAAAAACAATCTAAATTCCCATCTATAGAGTAGCTAAATGGCCTTTGATAACATCCATACCTTGGAACTGTATTCGGCAATTTTAAAAAACGCAGTAGCTCTACATATAAGATCTGTTTGGAAAAAGTCCAACCATTGTTAATATAACAAAAACAGTCTCCACGACATCTATGTAACCTGGCTACCAAGGAGAGTGGATGGGAATGCACATGTGTGAACAATGATGACTTCACCCTACTAATCAGTGGGGGTGGTAGAGGCCATTGAGTGAGCATGTGCACTGTGTGGCCATTGCATTAAAAAATGACTGAGCATGTAGAGAAATGAATCTGCATCAAATTTTGCATTAAGCTTAAACATTTCTCTGTGGAAACTATTTGGATGATTCAGAAGGCTGTAGGTATGGGCAACTGTTGAATGGCAGTTCATCACAACAATGTGCCCACTCATGCATCACATCTCATGAAGAGTTCTTTGGTGAAATATCAAATCACTCGGGCAACTCAGCTCCTCTACAGCCCAGATTTCATGCCATGGAACTTCTGGCTTTCCCATAAACTAAAATAACCTTTGAAAGAGAAGAGATTTTAGGTCATCAGTGAGATTCAGGGAAATACGAGGGAGCAGCTGATGGCAATTGGGAGAAGTGCGTGAGGTCCCAAGGTGCCTACTTTGAAAGGGACTGAGGCATCATTGTCCTACATTCAAAGTTTCTTGTATCTAGTATCTTCTTCAATAAATGTCTCTATTCTTTCATAGTACATGGCTGGATACTTTCTGGACAGGCCTCATACACTCACATGGACATATTGGTAAGTGGAAAAAAAAGTTGCAGAACAATCCATAGATCATGATGCTATGTGTGTAAATCGATTCCACCTCAACAAGACAAGAAATATTTCCCTCTCTCTATTTAGGTATATAAATGCATAGAAAAGGTCTGTAAAGATAATCAACAAACTGAAAATACCTTAGAGGAGGAGAGAATATGTACATGTATTGCTCACATAAATAAAAACAAATTTAAAATAATAGCTTCTTAAAAGGTAGTAGGTGGAGTTAGTGTAGACTGCTCATTTTTAAAGCTTTTGTGAGCTAGGAAAAGGGCTAAAGCAGTTAAGGGAGGCAAGAAGGCCAGGGTTGACATATTTTAGGATAAGAGAGATGAAGATGACTTCAACAGGAGCAGAAGCTTTAAGGACAGAGAAGAGGGGTCAGGTTTTGAGAAAAAAATCCACAAGACTTAGCAAGCAAATTGATGTGAAAGATTTAGTTCCGTTTATAAAATACTAAATGTTTACTTGTTCACTCTGTGCCAGGTATAATGAGAGGTATCAAATCAAATTTGTTTTAAAATCACTTAGGACATTCTCAGAAATATCCTAAGTTAAAATAAGAATTAGATTTTTATTTATATTATACTTTATACAAATTTATTCCCTGTCTCCATTCCTGTGACTGAGGCAATACAGGGTCAGATACAATAAACTTCCCCTTTTTATTACAAAATCTTTAATACAAAATCATAAGCATGTAATTCTGTAACATGACAATATCATACTCAAGCATCTCATATGACATTTTAGGTGAAATGTTCAAATTAAAACTATAAATTATTACACCCGATGTTGGGAATCACCCTGCCTGGTATCTGAAGCTGTAACCCCCGCCTAGGCTAAGGCTAAGGGAACGCTCTTGGAACCATAAGCCAGCAAGGAGACAAAAGCTTATCTCCCTGGCAGGAGCACTGCTTCTGCTGCTTCATTCATAACTGAACCCCAAAGCTTGGTCGGTTAGCCAAAGACGCGTAAGATTCCCCAAGGGGGGAACTACCTAAGACAGGCACGATCACGTGGGAGGCCCCCAAGAAAGGATTTTGGGGGCTACAGCAAAAGGGGGTGATGGACCCTTGCTCCTCGGCTTTGACATAGCCTGAGTCCTCACCGTCTGGGAGAAAATCTCCTTATCTCTCATTGCCTTAATTCCCTTGCTCCACCGAAGCCTAAAACAATGACAGGGTGGTGCAGCTCTGTGCTGAAAAGGGCGGATTCCGGGTGATCAGGCCTAAGAAAGAATATGTAAAATCCTGTGAAACCTGCTTTGTTTAGAATGCTCTCAGTTGAATAAGAAGAGTCCAAGGAGGAAGTTAGTTTGTTCCTTAAAGTCTTACAGCTCTTTGACCCTGACTGAAAATAGGCCCTCAGACTTCCTTGTTATCTATTGTTTGATCCTTACTTCCTAGCAATGAGTAATGAGCTTTTACCTGAATTCTTACTCAAATGAAACCAATAAAAAGCCTCTCCAGAGGGGGAACGGCGCACTCTCCCCACCAGGGAGGGTGGCTCCAGGAGAGAGGGTGGCCAAGGTGCTTCCCACGTGAGGAGTGGCCCTGCTGTTCCTATTCCCCCACAGGACCTGGTTGTCTCTGTGTATGTTTTTCTCACGTTTCAATGAGCCATCCGCAGCGTTCCATGATCACTGCTGGCCAGTGACCCACCCATCAACCCATATTATTACCCTACCTACCACACTCAAGCAGGGGTTACTTCTGCCAGACCCTGTATTATCTAAATTTTGTGGATGAAGAAACTAAGATTGGTTACTAAAGCTCATGACTATAGATATAGTAGGCTGAAGAATTACTTATTAATGAAAGTGTTTATATTGAGTATAAAATGTGTAGGTAAAATCTCATTTGTCAACTAAATTTTTTTTTAAAAAACATGGTTAAACATTCCCTAAAATACAACTAAAACTCAGATACTTGTTTCTCCGAGGTTTTACAATGAAAATCTTGTGTTGAAAATATTTTCCAGGTAATAAAAAGAATTGAAACAATGATTTCAATATATATTATGTTGGTCCTAGAGTTACACTGCAAAATAATTTTAAGATTTTAAGTGAGGTCCATGAAATAATTAACCTGGACCACATTGTTGCATACTTCAATATTATCCTTTCTTTTGAATATTCAGACAATTCTAAAACCCTCTGCACTTGCCCTTTGGAAGAAAGATCCTTTAAGAAATACCTCTCCTGAGCCAATTATTTTCCCGAATCAATCAGAAACCCTTGGAAGAGTCCTAGAACTGAAGTCTCTAATTAATCTCCTATTGTATTCCCTCAGCACTTATACAGTAGTAATTATATTTATGACTATAATTGTGTTACTTTTAGAGACCCTTATAATAAATAACCATCATAATGAAAAACCATTATAAAGATTTCTCAGCCTTAGCCAATAAGTTATTTCAAGTATATTCAATGCAATAAAATTCTAGTGAAATAATCAAAAAAAGAAAGACCTCTCCTTAAATTGAGGTAGTTCAAACTACAGAGGTGTCTCTACCATTTACTTATCTAGCCCCTCTCCCACATAGTGGTTCTGAAGTTGTCCCTGATGGGCTTACCTTTGAGTTTATTGTGCTCAGAATCAGCAGGAAAGAGGGAATCTGGAAAGAGCTTGGGGAAGGTGAGTCCTGCATACTTAGGCCGATTCTCCACATAGTTTCTTACTGTGGGCTGCAATTTCTTCATGAATTCTGGACATGGTGTTCCTAGTTGCTCAATTACTTTGTTCCACTGGTCAATATCTGAGAATTGGATAGTTAAGGGCAAACAGAAGTACAGGCTCCTAGCTCTGGCCCTCCACTAGTTGGGAGGCTAACTGCTGCTCAGGTCCTGGCCACTCATTGACATGAATGGAATTTTAATAAGCAATAAAAGACAAATGTAAAATCAGAATTGTAAGGCAATGAATCTTCTTAAAATTTTAATTCACTTTTGGCACATATACACTATTGGAGAACTAGCATTACTTAACAAAATAGGATATTGTGAGATAGTCTTTGGGTTGTGAAGGTGAAAATGTTTCAATAACACAAGAAATATTTCTTATATTAAGATAAACTTCTATATAACCATGTGATTCAAAGAGGAAAAATATAATGACACGTAATATTTTTATCATACAATCACGTCAATCATTTATTTTCTAAAAATGACAAATACACAAATATTTTAAATAAGATTCATTTATATTTTTCTTAATTCTTCTTAAGATTTTTGTTGTTTCTTTCTCTACCAAATAAGAAATTTCATCATCTGTTAGTGTTTTCTACTCATGTGTATTTCTTATGGGATCAATATAATATTTGATAATAAGAAAATTTATTAATTCTTCACCAAAGACTTAAAATTTTTCTATTTATCACTGTAGTCACAGTTTATACCTACTTTCTTAGTAGTACCCTGCATCCCTGAGTATTAAGAAGATATGAGAGTAAAAATTAAATGATCAATTTAAAACAACAGATTTCCATCCAAGTGCATGTATTTCAAAAGTACATTAAGTGTGCAGAATTCTATAGAAAAATATTAACTCTATGAATATTAATAGCTCTCCAAATGGGAGCTAGCCCTTCAACAGATATACCCACTGATTGAGATTCTCTTTTTCATTCATCATTAACATTTGTAATATCAAAGCCTTGTGAATGATAAATACCTCCAATGAAAACTCTGAAGAACCAACGGGAAGAACCTGATTTCAAAGAAATCCTTTGCCATGTGTCAATGAATGATAAAAGCCTTAGATATTCTTTTTAAATCCAATACCACAGGCAGTATTCTCCCTTATATTATTTATTCTTCTACAACTCTATTCCTTTAGTAATGTTAATTAATTGATTTCTGCTAATGTAATTTGCAACAGTTCAGGGAACTTACCATAATATTACTTGAGGTTTGTAAACTCCTTACCTCTAGCTATTCAATACAGCTGGACTAAAAAAGATCAGTAGTCCTGATAAAAGACAAAATTAACTATATTTAACAATAATAAATATATAATGCAAACAAAGTAGATAGGACATTAAACACAGATAAAAATCAAGCTAATTTGCAAATCCTCTTCTACCTCCTTTATATTCTGGCTGAATAAAACTTAAATTACTACATATTCTTTTAGTTACCGGGATAAAAAAAAAGAGAGTATGATTGTGCAGTATCAGGAAGAGAAGTGAAAGTGGAAAAAAACTGAAGAATATTCATGAGAATATAACAATAAGTCAGAATGCTTAAAAAGTAAGGAATCTAAAAAATTTAAAAAAGATTAAAGTTAAAAGTTACTCTTACACAAAACTGATGTTACTACTATGGATAAAGTTAAGCTTTAACTGTTTAAAGAAATTTAAATAGAAAATATTACTACATTAAATAAATATCACGTGCTCACACTGAAAATTATGAAAAGAAGTCTACTCTCTAATGCACTTAGGTTATCATGTCCTACTAGTCATCGTTTAATCACTGGTTTGACTCCCTTAGAATCTTACAGGTTATTTCAAACTAAAAAGAGGGGCAAAGAGTTGTCATATTTTCTGTAAAGGTATCATTTAAAAGTTAGAAAGATACTCCTAACAAACTATAAAATTCTAATTATATTTAGCTAGAGGTACAGAGTTATTCAGTAAAGAAAATTAATTGCTTTTAAAGCAGTGATCCCAAAACAATTCCAGGTTATTTTTGGAGTAAAGTTTAAGAACAGTCAAATACTGTGGAATATGTTCAATAAGAACAGTTAAAATATTTCTTTTTATAAGTTATAGTTAAAGCTTACAGAAATACTCAGTGAACATTCCTACCTTAGGTTGCCTTTTAAATAAAACACAATTGTGGTCTTTGATGCAATAGTTTACAAAAAGTAGGGAGGCACAACTCTTTATTACTGTCAATGAAATAGTTGAGTGTTAACACTTCAACTATGTGGTATAATCATCTTTAAAAGTTCATGCCTGTATTTTAACCAATCCATTTCAAGTTCTTTCTTCCCATAAACAAGAAGTTATATTTAAGTATTAAGCACTTCTTTCCCAGATGTTCATAGGATCAGAAAGTGGACAACTATGTCTAACTATAGACATACTTAGTTAACCACATGGTTTTCCTTTATAATCATAACTACCCAAATAGAAGCCAAGACTGGAAGTCACATCTCCTGACTCTAAATCCAATGCTGGTTCCAAGGATTCCAGTAAGGAAAGGAGCAAGTTTGAAATTGTTGTAGTAGAAATTGCTTCTACTAATTTGGACATGAAATAGATGGCATGTTTGTCACAAGCAATTCTTTAAAGACTGTCTCTGAAAATTCCACCTTGGTGTATCACGTCCACTTCACATAAAACAATTAACTTTATTAATATTTTAAATAGAAAATGACATGACACATGTTTTTAAAAATTAATCATATTTCCAAAATAATTATATTTTAAAAATATATAAAATAATAACTATATTTTATGTGTACATGTTAATATTAATATGGTAACTATTTTTAAACCAGAGTTATTTTTGTAAAAGGATTTTTTGCCTTAGAACTCTCATAAGTTATCATTTTTATACTAAATACATATGGATCTGACTATTTACAAAATCCAGCTGGTGCACTTATCAAAAAAGCAATAAATGTGTTTTATATTTTTGACTTACTATTTTAGTGAGAAATCATCACCCTCAACATATTTATCAAAGGCATTTAATAAACATTAAAATTTAAAGTTATCATTTTATAGGAATTATTTGAGTCAATTTCTTCACCTAATTCTAAATGCACTACATAAAATAATCATATTACAAAAAGTTTGATTTTATAGAATATGATAACAAGATAAGATAAGGTATATGTACTGAGTATTAACTGTATTCAATAAATAGTATTGCAATAGATGAATAAAACAAAATTAACATGGATTATAAAAATGAATTATTTAAAATCTTAAGATTGAAAATTTTTTGTTAATTTTACCAGTTAGAGAAGAATTTATATTTCATGGATGCCTTTCAACTTAACTTCCTTGGTTGGGAACTTTCTAAAATGTATCACAAATTGCCTTGAACATAACATGAAAAATACCTTATCTTTTTCTGGCTATATTAGATTATAATTATGAACATAATTTGTACAATGTACATTCAAGCTTTCAGAAGCTACAAAGTAGATTCAAAAAGAGTGTTTAATGGCCTCATTCTACTATGCCCTTTGAAAAACTATCTTCTTATGTTTTCTTCTATAGTTGATTACTTTTGTTATTATGAATATGGTTTCCAACATTAACACTTTCATAAATTCAGACCTGCTTTCTCCTCAAGCCTTATAGTCAATATTTTGTGAAAAATTTTCTGAGACTTATTTATAACTTAAAGAATATCAGTGTTTATGTCCAAATTCTTAACTATGTTTTTAAAGATTATTTTGCCAAATAGCTTCAGGAAAGGTTATTTTATCTGTCAAGCCATCCAGCTGCCTAGACACTGCATTGAGTGTTATTGCGTGGCTTTATGTCAGTCCTGCTGGAAAACTACTGCAATCAATTAGTGATTTCTGTATTGAATATGCAATAAAGAAGTAGAGGGATGCATGCCATGTGTTAGGCATCATGATATATCAAGTTCCCCAACTGCAATACTTGTAACATAGGAAAATTACAATACAGATCCTTCTCCTTTCCCCATTGATTTATATAATTCTGTTCATAGGTTTGATAAAATATTATTTAAACAAAGAAACAAACAAAACACCAACCCTAGCCGGTGTGACTCAATTCACTGAGCACCAGTCTACAAACTGAAAAGTCCCTGGTTTGATCCCTGGTTGGGGTGCATGCCTGGATTGCAGACCAGGTCCCCAATAGGGGGTGTGTGAGAAGCAATCAATGGATGTATCTCTCATATATTACTGCTTCTCTCCCTCTGTCTCTCTCCCTCCCTTCTTCTGTCTCTAAAAGTAAATAAATAAAATCTTTTTTAAAAAGCAAACAACAACAAAAACAATAGTAACTATAATCCAGATGGCCTCAGGACTCTATTTTGAGAAATACTAATGTAGAATATACTAAGTCTCTTGTCAATTACTATACCAGATTTAAGAAAAAAGTACTGCCTTGGCCAATGTGGCTCAGTTGGTTGAAGCAGTTCCCTGGCAGGACATATGCCTACGTTGTGGCTCAGTCCCCAATTGGGGCACCTACAAGAGGCAACCGGTGGATGTTTCTCCCTGGCATTGATGTTTGTCTCCCTCTTCCCCTCTCTTCCCCTCTCTCTAAAATCCATAAGCATGTCCTTGAGTAAGGATTAAAAAAATAAAGTACTAACATATTTCAGTTTTATGATGCAAATTGCTATAGCTTGAAGTTCACCAACAGTTGATTCCACACCTATTTTCTATGAAAAATATAGGAGTTTCACCAAAAAGAAGTACTTCAAGAAAAGAAAATTCCTAACATGAATCCCATTTCTCCATATAAATTTCCTAAAAGACCATGGGGATATATTTCATGGCAAACACATGCTCTCAGCAGAAAAGGAAAGATTCCACCATCAAAATTTAGGAAAGGATTGAAATTATATGTTGCTATTACCTGTGGGGTTCTATTCACAGAAAATACAAAAGCTACTCAATATAAAGCTCAAAATATCTGACAATATATTTCTGCAATTATTTCATATTTCCCTATGATAAAGTTTGCTCTTAAAAGAATTCTTACTGGTGAGGAGAATTTTAAAGATCAGAAAAGAAATGTATATACATATGACA